TGAGGCCGTTTTTTTGCAATTTCTGCCTTCAAACGCTCCAATAACGCTATGTAATATTCGCTATTGATGGTTTTTCCCTTTTCAAGGTAATCGATGAATATGTATTATACCATGCGCATCCCAAAATACGGAGCCATAACCTTTCCCGGCCGACTGTTGAGTTTTTGGTCGCTTCGGACGACTTTCACCTGCTGCTCTCCACTCAGCTGACTGCCGATTTGATTCCGGAGTATAGTGGATGGATCCAAGTTTCATCCATTGTCACGTATCGACGCAAAAACTCCTGTTTATTTCGCGTAAACAGTGCCAAACAGCGCTCTGAATCATCGATGCGTTGTTGTTTCTGTTCCATTCTGAGCAAACGGCAGCACCATTTCGAAAAAAGCTTTTTCATGCAAAATTAGTGTAAACACTACCAAATGATATCTTCAGGATGTCAGCTATCTCACGCAACTTTACTTTGCGATTTTCATCACGATTTTGAGGGTTTTTTTATGTTTTCTGGTGTAACAGCCTCATTAGACGACCAGAGCGTTCAGCATCATTTGTGTCTGTACGACGCGTTTTGAAATCAGCATACCACCGACAAATGTTTCGACGGAGCAGAGCCCGGATAACACTTTTCAAGCCAATGCTGAGTTTGAACGGTATTTTTTCTCATTAAAAAGCAATGTTTTATTAACACATGAAATTCGGTTTTTTCCATTGTTTTCAAATAGCAAAAGTAGCGTCACTAAAACCACTGTAACTCAATGACACAATGTCGGAATGTCATAAAGTTTGACACGTAACTTCTTAAAGGTTGGTCTAACTGAGAATGGTATGGACTTGTTATTAGAGGCGCCATCTGTTGGTTAGTCCGGGACTTATTGATCGATGTGTTATATATATATATTATATATAATATTTTTTCTAAGAATCTTCATTTATTATTTTGCTCGTTCGCAAAATATAAAATAATTCAGTTTTTTCACAACTCCTTTATTTTTTCATTCTTATAATATTTTGATATATAAGGAATCCTAGAGGTTGGGAGTTTGCATAATATATTTATCTACAATAAGCTAATTTTAGAAAATTGCTATGACAAATTATCTTGAAGATACATTTTACCAATTTTACTTCGCTAGACTCTTACATTATGTATATTTTTTCGTACGAGCCTATTTATGTACAAATATGACATAAAGTAATAAAAATTAGTCTTATTATTATAATTATTTATCATATTCTAAGAAATTGTTGTATGTAAAATTTTTCTCCCAATTGCTGATAAAATATAATTTTCAGTTATATTTTATAAGTTTTTATTTGTTATTATTATTCCATATATATTCTATTTGAAACAAATAAAATTTATTTATTTTATCTTTTAAAAAACTGTTTTTGTTTGATATCGGAAAATGATAATTTTTGTTTGTAAAATAATTATACTCTTTTTACTTGATATTGTTAAACCAATTCTTTTGTAAATCATTTCTTAATGATGTAATCCTAAACGAATATTTTTTCAACATAAGGGAAACTTTTTTCTTAACATTAAGAAAATTATTTTTTCTTGTGTTCCGCTGAAAAAGAAAACAAAATTTATAAATATTGAGAACAATATTTCTAAACAACAATTTCTAAAAAAATAATGAAGAAAATCTTTTCTCAAGTTTTTAACCATATATGAAAAAAAATTAAAATTGCTTATATATGCTATGATCATGAATTATCTACGAACCACATCGTGTTAGCTGAGAATAAACGATCACACGATATATCAATATTATTGGGTGAGTGCAAAAGTTCGTGCGGAGTTTGTGAGTAAAAGTCACACAGTGATTAGGCAAACAAAAATCTTTATTCAATCAATGATATATTCTCCATCGTTTTCTATAATCTTTTCCCAACGTTCTGGCAGCATACGGATGCCTCGATCATAAAAACTGCGCGGTTTAGATTCGAAGAACGAAGAGACGCCGTTTTTTAAGGCCTCCAAAGAGTCAAAGTTTTTTCCATTTAAATAATTTTGCAATGACCGGAACAAGTGATAGTCAGATGGTGCGATATCAGGAGAATACGGTGGATGCGTTAAGACATCCCATTTCAGGCTCTTCAGTTTGCGCAGCGTCTTTTTCGAAACGTGTGGTCTGGCGTTGTCGTGATGAAAGACGACTCCCTTGCGATTTGACAAAATCGGACGTTTCTCTTTTATTTCTCGATTCAGATTGGTTAATTGGCGACAGTACTTGTCCGAATCAATCGTTTCGCCAGCGGGGAGAAGCTCGAAATAGATTATGCCCTTGCAATCCCACCAAACAGAGAGCATCACCTTCATCGGGTGCAAACTGGCCTTTGGCATTGCGTCACCATGCTCACCTGATTGTTTCCATGTCCGTTTGCGCTGAACATTGTTGTAGAGGACCCATTTCTCATCGCCCGTCACTAGTCGATCCAAAAACGACTCGTTATTGAGCCGCCCGAGTAAAGAAACGGCTGCAGAAATTCGCTTGATTTTGTTCTTCTCGGTCAGCAAATGGGGCACCCATATATCGAGCTTCAAATCGAATCCCATCTTTTTTAAACGCCGAAAAGCGGTTGATCGGTCAACGTTTAGTGCTGTAGCAACTTCTTCTGTTGAAATTCGCGGATTATTGAGCACTAAAGTACGCAAAACATCGTCATCAATGTCAGAAGGTCGACCAGAGCGTGGCTCGTCTTCAAGGTTAAATTCTCCGCGCCGAAATTTAGCAAACCATTTTTCCACAGTTCGTTTAGCTGGTGCTTCATCCTGATAAACATCCTGAATGTTTTTTACGGCTGCGGCAACGTTTATTCCCTTCCGAAACTCGTAAAGCATAACATGCCGTAAATGCACCTTATCGATACTCATTTTTAAAGTGATATTTCTCGAAGCAGTTTGTATGAAAACAAATGATTTTTTTTTTAATAACAGCTGAAGACGTCACCTTTCCAACGTTATATAATATGTAGATGGAAGTATTAATGACAACACTTTACGACGCTTATAACTCCATCTATTGAAACTCCGCACGAACTTTTGCACTCACCCAATACTTAAGATAGATTTTGCACGCATGCTATGAAAATGATGCATTATCTACTGAAAACAGAATAAGCCAAGGAACTGACCCTTGAGTTTGTCTATGAATATCGATTAATGTCAATGATGACTTAATTGATTTAAGAACGGGCTTTGTAATAATTTTGCGCAGTAATTTTACTGTCGGACTGATTGAAAATGTAACAGCGAAGAAACGGACGAGTCTTGAATAATGCTCTTGTTTTATCTTTCGACATGTCAGAATTAATTGCACTGATAAAAAAAGAAAAAAATATCATAACCATAAATGAATCTTTCTGCTCTTATGAATATAATCAATGTGTTTCGAAGAGTAAATATATATCAGCGAATTTGATTCAACAAATTGTAATTTCCTCCTCAATTAGTCTTTTTCTTCCGAAGTAAGGTGAATGTCGCAATTAATAGTAATGTTTCGCAATTTGCCACAATTATATCCGTTTTCATTAATAAATCAGTTGATATGGATCCGTACTTATTTTATAAATACATACTTTTATTTTAAATTTTATATTTATTTACTTATTTTATATACTTATTTTACAAATAAATTTTACAACGGCCGTTGAGACAAGCGGTAATTTTAAAGTCGCGGAACGCATGAAGTAGAAATCGCTCGAAAAACCGGTTGGATTATTTCTTTTTTTCTGTTTTGCGTTTTATTCTTTTTTTTAGAATTTAGGGCGAAATGTCACGATACTGACTTGCCTTGAAAGAGTTGTCCTCGGCCACGAAATTTTACTCTTATTGGAGTTCGCGCGAAATTGTCATGTCCACTCTTCGGGAAAGAAGGTCAAACAAAGCCGGTGAACAATTCATGATGGATGTAAAACAGATCCAATGCAGACTCGAAGCTTTTAAGGAAATGCGCAAAAGTTTCAGAAGTTGGGTAAGAAAAGTTCAAGGCTATCGGATGACGGTAAGACGAGGAAAAGAAGGCTAATGTAAGAAGGAAACTACAAAAAATTTACAAATTTTATATAGAAAATTTGCACGTAACTGCTTTCCTAAAAATCTTGCTACTATTATGTTCGCTTTGTAACGTGACGTTTGAATGTTGCTGATCGTGAAGGATAAATTGATTTAATTAATTTATATCGAAAATAAATATGTCTGTATACGAGTATTTCATTTAAATATGGCTGAAAAAAGATAACTATGATTTCTTATCAAAGATAAATCAAATTGCACAATAATACTAATAATGATAATGATATTTTTATTCAACAGGAAATTTATTAATATATTTGATATAATACTTAATAATATAATAATTAATATAATACTTAAAATATGTATATGAAGCAAAACCGTAGACAGGTGTATACAAAAATATCAAATAAAAATTTAGATTAGGTTATCGTCATAATTAAATTAGAAAATTGTCACAGTTGGCCATAAAAATCATGCCTGCTTTACCCGTTTCATTATGTTTGACATCGATTTAAAAAAAAAAAATAAGTGGTAGTATATTTGTTAAATCTTTCAATATAAATTAGTTATTATTAAATTTAAAATGACAAAGTACAATGAGAAATAATTGCCATTCTCGATGCTTTTCCTCGGAACAATTTCAGCCTGAATGGCCTCTAGAATCCTTCGAGAAAGCTCCTAATGGCAAAGGAAGCGATGAGAATTGTACGATCGATATACAGATTGAGGATGACCTGAGGAGTGCATAGCGGGAAATACATCGCCTTCTCGTTCCCAGACGTGCACCGTATATCAATGACGACTTGGTTGAGCCGTCATGGCATGACTTATTTATACGATACGACGGCATCGATGAGAGCCGGCGAACTCGCGGCCATGTGTGCGTCTAGTTGGCTCGTCACGCAATTAACATTACCGGAGGGAGTCGCTCGTTTACATATATGCGATCGCGAATGTAAAGGTGTGCGACACCGAGGACGACCTGAAACCGTTACGGGTCTTTTCGAGACCAGTCTCGTTCGAACGATCGTCCGTGTGCCTCAAGATCGACCGCAAAAACCGACGACGAATTTCTCCACGAAAAGTTGGAAAATCGACCCCGAAAATACGGTAGAAACTTCTGATTGTTTGCTTCTTCTTCCTGTTTTTCTCTTTCTTCTTCTTGAACCGGAGATTTTAGAATCGAGAATTAGTTTCTTATCTCTCGAATCTTCAGTGACTTCTTAAGAATAACGCAATACACTCCTGATTGTTTTCGACGGATGGTGGTATGCCACAGCGTGTAGCGGTCTTTGTTATCCTTAGCAAAACATATATTTGAAGAAATGGGGATTATTTTCATTAGACGACAGAAATCATATTTCGTTATGAAGGTGTTGTGGTGCCACTTCATGGTGATCCTCATTCTTCGACAGGTAAGTTTATCGTTGCTGCGTGATTATTTCCTGTCACGATGTTTACAAGTATAAATCGATATTTTCACACATTGACAAATTGAACATAGAATAGAGAATTTCTTGAGATTTTATTAGGATCCGACTTCCCGATATCTAAATCAATTCACAAATTGCCCGTATAAAAAATTTCTTAGAATTTAATTGGATCGCCAAACTGAAATAAAAATTTACTTTAATATTAAAAATTGTGTATGTATGTGTGTGTGTGTGTGTGTGTATTTGATGACGTCTAATATATTAGTATGACGTATTATTGACGTTAGAGACACCATTAATGCGTCATTAATATAACACATCATTTGACGTCACCTTGATGCTCGAGTATTAACAGACTAGGTCACTTTTTTATAGCTGTTTTAAAAATAATAATATAACATGCTTGTAACATCTATACATTGTCAGGTCGTATACTTAAAAAGGAACATGTCATCATTACTTATATTTTTTCGAAAGACATGTATAGTTACTTTTAATTTTTTTTAAAAGTGGCATTTTATTATAACTAAAGAACATAAAAATTATTTTTAAAATCATTTTTACGCCACGTACAATATGATTCGGAAATTCATAGATATTATATATTGATTATATTTATTGTTTACTAGATAACTCGAATTCCTGAAGTGGTATATGTAATATTTTAAATACGCAATTCTACATAGGATAAAACTTTTTTTTTTTATTTTTATTATACATTAGATTTTATTTTATCTCATTTATTTTTTTATTCTATCAAACATAGTAGTTAGTATAGAAATAGTTGGTATAGAAGTGGCATCCTTGTTTGTTATCACATAAAAATATATTGACGTTACTAAAGAAAAGTATAAGTTCCTATGGTATTTATTTTGATTCTAGACAGAGAACCGATGTTCTTGCAATGAAAATGGGATTCCTAATTAATGTCGTAATCAGATAACCAATTTTGGGACAAACTTGAGAATTCAATAGATTTTTTGAATCTATACTATGTCTGAAGAAATTCCAAGAAATTTCTACTATATAATAACAATGCATGGATGTTACAAGTATGTTATGTTATTATTTTTATAACAGCTATAGAAAAGTGACCTATAGGGAAGAATGTTAAATTTTATTTCGAATGTACGAAATTTACTTTGATGACTCAAACAGAAACTGAAACGTACTTTAGCATAAATCTATTTTTGTTTCCATTTTCGCAGGCGATAAATTTTATTTGCGTGATTTCGTGTTCTTGAAACAATACTCTTGGTCAACATTTGGTTGACATTTAACGCTGTGTTAGTAATAACGCTATCGTCCGATCCTCTTGTGCTGATCTAGTGTAAAGTATTTCTATATAAGTATGCGCTACCTCCATAATCGCGACTAACGGCATGTACTAAAGCCAGGTTTTGCGCGCTTCAGCAGAAATGTTAATTAAAATTCCTTCACGGCTTCAGGCCACCGCCGGAATCGTTAGGAAGCCGCCGGCCTTTTCAACACCAGTATACTCGAACTCGTATCTTCCTGCAGCCATGCAGGTGAGTGACTTTATTTAAATTAATGACAAGAAACTCTGCGAATGTTTAGAGTTCATCTTGTTTGGAATAATAATCCGGAAATATCTTACGAGCTCATGTCTCTTCGTCTTTACGTATATTCGATCTTTATATTTTGCCTATAATAACATTAATTTTACATATGAGTTATTAGCGTTAGAAAATAAATTTAATATCTATACATAAAGAACAATATTATTCTACTGCTGTATGAGAGAAGTGATTATATTCAACTTATTTTCCTTCTTTTAATTAATGGTTATCTTCAACAAAGAATATTTTTCTCCCTAGTAGTCTTTTAAAATATGCTCACCGCATATTTTTCATAAATTATTTTCATGTACTCAAAAAAGGAATTTCAGGAATATTAAAAAATGTATACTATACTTAAGAAAAACAATCAAATTTTTATTTTAATTTGATACTTTCGAATGAAGTATTAAGCTTAGATTTAGGATTAGGATTTAGATTATATTTTGAATAATTTTGATGATAAACTTATCGTATAGATTTGTGGATATATAAACTTATGGAATATTTAAGATAAAAGTAAGATTAATACTTGCGATTGCAGTATTATCTAAGGATACATTGAGAAAAATGCTTGGAATTTATAACCATCGTATAATGAAATAATTATAATTAGGAGAACCATTTTTGTAATAAACGTTAATACAATGCTAATGATAATTAATTTTGTTATATTACTACTACTATTCCTTTTTTTTGTTAGAAAAAAACATATATTTTTGTTACAAGACATGATCGACATTAACAATCATATAATTTTAATGATATTAAGCATTTTTTTTCTCATCGTAGCAAGCTTTTTAATGATAATTCGCCGATTCTTTTTCATTTCTCAACTAATTTTTACTTGTTCAATAATGCATTAATCAATCGAATTCTACAATGTTAATTATGAATCTATAGTTATAATTATGAAAATGTCAATAGCGCGATAAAATTTGTAACAGAAAATATGATAAAATTTATTATAAAAATACAAGAATATAATATGTGTTTGCTCAATAGACATATATAGATTGTGCGTCTTCGCGTGTTTCGACAAAATTACTTCGGATTCAAGTCCTGTCGAGTCCTCGAAATATCGAATATCGGATACAGGTAGCTATATAAACCTGTTTTCTGAATCAGGTAATTTTCCATGCGGTCGAGCAACTGAAACTTCTCCAGTCAGAGGAAATGCTGCTGACGAATTCAGCAGTTCAATCCTCATCGACGACTCAATCGATGAAACATCAGCAACTGCAATCAACGACGCCCAAAACAACCCCCGCGATTTCCACCATTGCGACTACGGCGGTGCACAGCAAGACGACGGGAACTCCCAAATTATCATCAACTTCGCCTTCGATCCCGATCGAAGCATCGAGTCATGGTTTGTCCGAGACCTACAATGACCTGACAAAGGCTGTTCAACCTTCGACCACTTCCGTCTCTACCTCGTACGACCATGAAGAGACGCCCGAAGTGAACGAAGAAACCGCCGAAACGAACTACGCCACGCCGGAAACGAATCACGAATCGCCAGAACCGGTGCAGGAGACGCAGGAGCCGAATCAGGAAATATCGGAGGTAAACGAGGAGGATAAGATTTCGACGATCGAGAATTATTCCGGCCAGACGTCCGAGGTCGGCAGTTCATTGGATGATGGTGTGTCACAGCAACAATCGAAGCAGGTAACCGTTTCGGAAACGCAGGCTAACCTGAAAAAAAAAGAACCAACTATTGACAGCGTCGTGGACGAAATTTACGTGATTGTTAAGCCGACGATCTCGCCGTTAATCGATATTTCGAACATCACCGACATGTCGAAAGGTACGACAGGTATTTCAATTGAGAAGATGGAAAGCATAGAGGACGAAGAAGAAGAAACAAGGTGAGGCTAATCTTAATGAAATTATAACTATTTTCTGCGTCAATTATACACACAGAGTGTCCGGGATCTTTTGGAAACGAAAAATTACGAAGACTAATCAGATCAAACTGAGAAGAAAAATTATCATTTTGCAAAAATCGCAATAGTTATTAATTGATATAAGTATATTATATGATGAAGTTTGAAAAGAATTTAAAAGAATCCTTTACCATTTTGCAAATAACGCAAATTTTCAAATTATCAGTTAAAAGAGTCTCCAGATGTGGTCATTTTTAATCATTAATAACTTGATAATTATTGCGATTTTTACAAAATAGTGCATGACTTTCTTCTCAGTTTAATTTAATTAATCTTCACAATTTTCCAAAAGATCCCAGACACCATGTATATAGTTTTTTTATTCAATTTTATTCTATTAACGAAGAAATAATACTTTTGGTAGGGTATAAAATAAATCTCCCTTTGAGGAAGGCTATATTATTTTATATTCTATTATATACCAATATGTAATTATATGTATAAAAATAATAGTAGGCATAATGAATCATTAAGATGCAAACATAACATGCAACTTACTATATTTTAATTTTACTTTTTATAATATGTTATGTTGATTTTACTGTTATTTGTTGAAAGGGGCGGTTATACAGGATGTTTGAAAGCTTATCATACAGACGAAAGTTGGAGATAGATTGGGTGTAGCCGAGAAGAAAAGTCATGTACCATAATGTCAAATTGGCAATAGTTATCGAGTTATTAATTGAAACATGTGAGCCAATGAGCGCGTAGAGAGCGCTGGGTGGCCGCGGTAAGCACGTAGATATTTGGTATAGGCGAAGTCAACGAGCGTCGATAGGCGAGCGTGCGCGGCGAGGGGCAACCGTAAACGACATAGGCGAGCGCGCGCGACGAGGAGCGAGCGAGCGAGCGCGAACGACGAGCGAGCGAGTGCAAGCGGCAACAGGCGGCCGCCCAGCGCTCTCTACGCGCTCATTGGTTCACATGTTTCAATTAATAACTCGATAATTATTGCCAATTTGACATTATGGTACATGACTTTTCTTCTCGGCTACACCCAATCTATCTCCAACTTTCGTCTGTATGATAAGCTTCTAAATACCCTGTATATACAGGGTGTCTCAGAACTTTGGGATACGGTCTCCGTAGAGACATAGAGCTAAGTGAGAGGAACAAAAAAGTCCTGTATTATAATATGAAAATCATAATAGTTTTTTAGTAATAACCGCGTAAAGTTTGGCGTTTTTTCACGCCCAGCGTGGCCTATAGACGCTCCGCGGCAAGCTGTGTGCGTAGAGGCTAAGCGAAAACGCGGCTCGCGCTGACCGTCGCGCGGCGTCAAAGCGCCAAGGCGCCATCACGATAGTCAGCGCGAGCCGCGTTATCGCTTAGCCTCTACGCACACAGCTTGCCGCGGAGCATCTACAGGCCGCGATGGGCGTGGAAAACGCCAAATTTTACGCGGTTATTACTGAAAAACTATTATGATTTTCACATTATGGTAGAGGACTTTTTTATTCCTCTCATTTAGCTCTATATCCCTACGGAACTCGTGTACCAAAGTTCTGAGACACTCTGTATAGAGCAAAAAAAGCGTTTGAATATGAAAATATTTCAAAAATCTGTTCGATCGGTCGCAAGTATCATTTTATTAATATACGTTTTTATTTATATGTATTCTGCAAAAATTTTTAGAGTTAATTTAACATCATAGATTAAGATGGTCGCGGCTAGGAAACAAAAGCTTTAACATATTTTGCTTTTCTTTTTTTGTTGTGTCATATTTGCATATACAAGGTGGGATATTTAAAACAGGTCATCCGAATAACACCCACAGTTTTCGAGATAGGAAAAAATGCTTGAAATAAAAGTTGTATGGTATCGAAAGGAACATCTTGTGGAGATAAACATTTTTTCTAGGTGGAGGTGCTTAGGAGATTTGAAGGTCATTTCCATTTTGTTAAATGAGATCATGCATTTTTGAATACCTATGATTGAAGCTTACCTCAAGACAAATGCAATGATTATACATGCTCAAGGTCAGGAACATAAAAAATGTTGAAAATAACGTATTTTTGTAAGTATGATTCTACTGATAGGGTGATTGTGACGACACGCAATTATTATTCATTTTTTTATTTATTTACATACTTATTACGTACCACTGCTAACATAACTGCTCAAAATGGACCTTGAGCATCGATGTATGCTCTAAAGCGTCTCGATACGGATAACATGGCATGTCGAATTTCATTTGGATCAATCGCGAAACAGGCTCTTCTTATACGCTCTTTCATGTCTTCTCTGGTTGTTGGTATCTCGCAGTACACTTCTTGTTTTAACTTTCCCCACAAATAGAAGTCCAGAGGTGTCAAGTCTGGGGAACGTGCGGGCCATTTGTCATTTCCACACCGACCAATCCAACGATCTCCAAACTTTCTGTTAAGAATTTCTGTAGTAATCCGCGCAGAATAAGCAGGACATCCATCTTGCTGGTACTACATGGATTATCGTATGTACAGTGGAATATGTTCTAACAATTGTGGCAAAACTTCTAAAATCTATTAATATTTGCAGCTATTTAACATCCCATCAATAAAATAGGGACCAATTATTTTATTATTTACAAGTCCGCACCAGACGTTTACAGCCTACTTCGCGATTGATCCAAATGAAATTCGACGTGCCATGTTATCCGTATCGAGACGCTTTAAAGCATCGATGCTCAAGGTCACCATTTTGAGCATTTGTGTTAGCAGTGGTACGTAATAAGTATGTAAATAAATAAAAAATGAATAATAATTACGTGTCGTCACAATCACCCTATCAGTAGAATCATACTATCAAAATACGTTATTTTCAACTTTTTTTATGTTCGTGACCTAGAGCATGTATAATCATTGTATTCGTCTTGAGGTTAGCTTCAATCGTAGGTATTCGAAAATACATGGTCTCATTTAAAAAATGATCCTCAAATTTCCTAAACATCTCCGCTTAGGAAAAAATGTTTACCTCCACAAGATGTCCCCTTTGATACCATACAACTTTTATTTCAAGCATTTTTTCCTATCTCGAAAACTGTCAGAGTTATCAGGTGGCCTGTTTTAGATGTCCCACCCTGTATAATATTATTAGGTTATGTAATAAGTAATTTTGGATTCTTTATATGTAATAAAACGGTATTCACCGTTTCATTTTATTTAAAAAATCCCAAATTATTTATTACACACCATATAATTTAATACATTGTTAGATTCTCTACCATCAAATCAATGATTCCTATATGTTAATAGGTTTACTCGTAGAAAAAAAATGAATAAATAAATAAAATATAAAATACAAGATACAAAACCAGAAAGAAATTACTAACTTTTGTTTTTATGAGTCTGGATAATATCAAAGTTAATAAAACTATTTTATAATAACAGTGAACTTCTGAATAATTAATTTACTTTTTTGCTCTGAAAAAATAGTTATAGCAATATGCACGTAAAATTATTATTTAGACTACAGTAGTACTAATTGCAAAAATAGCTTTCGTGATTATAATTATTATGGTATATTGTAATCATAAATAACAATATTTTTCTCTCAGCGCAATACTTTTCTCTCTATCATTAAATTTAATATAACCGTTAAATTAAACTTTAAATGTTTTCGCCAGAGAAAAAATTATTTTTTTCGCCCGCTTTTGATGAAAATTTCATATTAGCGATTTGCTAAACAATAACAAAGACGTTTAGGAAATAAATGTTAGTTGAGGATGTATTAACAAAGAACATGGTAACGACTCATCTTAATGAATCGTCTTTTCTCCTTTGTATCTGCTGTCGCAGATTTACTCTACTAGGCGAGAAAGTGGCTCAAGTGCCAAGGCCAAGTTTGAATAGTTATTTGAGGCGTACTAAAGTGCCACCCAGTCGTGCTCTCCAACAACTGGCGAATTTGTACGACGCTCTCAGCAAAGACGCGCGCAAACAAGGCTTCGCGCGTTTCACTGGCTACTCTGACGAGGTCCTACAAGCTCTGCAGTCATCCGCCGAGGGTGGTGTCGGGCCGCAGCTGAAGACACTTTTGGAGAAAGTGGTCGAGCGAAGCGAACTTACCAGAGACGACGCGAAGTCGAGGACAACGGAGGCATTACGAGATCTGGACGATCCTGCGAGTGCGCTCAACAAGGATCTCAGACGTCTGTTACCTCTGCGTTACACAGCTTAATTCTTGTATAAAACCGGCTATCGCGTCGATCTTGTAATTTTTTCCAATAAAAACAAGAAATTCTCATACATAATTTGTTTTTTGTTGAAGCGGAAAATAATCATAGTGTTATGTGAAGAACTAATTATCGATTTATATTATCGATAAATAGTTGCAGTGTAAGTAGTAAATAATCTTGAAACAACCGTTAAAAACGTTGAAGTATGATTTATAATATTTAGGAGTGATTTTTTTCCGACAATATAAACAAAACACTGAGTAGAACAGATGTCATAACAGTCAAGAACTCTTTCGCTGCAAAACAATGCAAAAAGCTACAATACGTCTTTAATGTACTTTTATAGTCAGAAATATATAACGAAACAGCAAATTGTAAAAATATATCTATACTGAGCACTTTAAAAGCCCAGAAACAGCCAATTGTTTCCAAAATAATTGTTCTATAGGAAAATATTTCAGGCAAAATACGCAATATTTCCGAAAATTATATCAAATGGCAATGTGTCTCTGTGACCTTGAACTGACCTTTATATCTTTAGTTCTTTAGTTTTCTTTAGTTTTTTATACCTTTAGGAGATTAGAAGGATTTAATATTGACTTGTTTATAACATCAGCGTTATTTGATGGGCTTCAATCGTTTGGCTTTGAAAAGGATAGATTGTATGTATGTGTACTGTGAAAACGGGTACAATTGTCATAAATTAGGATACTGTCAAATTAGGATACTGTTTGTATTTCGGTGAAAAATTGATGTACGAACATGAGATGCAGACTATTTTTCTTAATATCTCACATCGTATGCGTTTACGCTTATGCCCTATTCGTTAATCATACTTACATGTGTTATGCAACCGATCGTACAGTTTTTTTTATATGGCTTTTTAATATTTTGAGTCTCTAAAAGTTTTGATAAATTTATTAAATTATTTCTCCTAGTTTATATTAAAGTTAATATAAAATTCCTAAATGTTTGAATATTTGATTATCTGAACATTCGGAATTTAAAATCGCACTATTTGGATAATCCGAGTAATCTGAATTACTGAATTACTCGGATTAAGTTCAAAATAACAAGAGATTCAGATTCAGATACAGATTTAGTGACAAAATTACTTATATGAAATAATTGTTAGTTAGACAGGCATAGTTATCTCAGATTAAGCCGTTAAATTGCATATAAAATATTAATTTATTTGTTGTTATTACAAATTTGTAAAATAGATCTTGATTATTGAAAATGTGGCTTCCGAACGACATCTCTCAATGTTATCTGGGGAGGGGAGAGTGTCGTGAGCGTGGAGCGTCAGATAGCTCAGTGGTCTAGAGCAGTCGCCCGGCAAGCGAAAGACCCGGGTTCGATTCCCGGTCTAGCGACTTAGATGCTAGCGCTGTTTGATCGATTTCGCTGCTAACTTAGGTACAACTTTGAATTTGAGTTCTGATTAGATACTTCAATAATTCAGGTATCTTAGTAAATTCGAACGTAATCAGACATCTGGATAGTGTCAAATTCAAACGAATATTAAACTCTTTCTCTTAGTTTATATACACATTAGTTTATATACATTTCGCTGTCTGGTTTAAACATTACACAAACATAAAAATAAGAATATTGTTTTTATCATTATTGCATGCTTGTAAAAACTTTATTTTATTAAACCATTGCTCTGATTATCAACATTTTTCTTTATCATACGCAGAGTCTTCCTTTTATCACTTATATTTATATACGCCGATGATAATTATCGCTTAAACAAGAAAGATAAATTATATCTTCGGTTCTTTCATCACATATCTTCGTGTTCGACTATGATTGTCCTTTGCCAACCACTTGGAAATGATTTTCACCGCTATGTCAAGGGTATCGCCTATATAAATAAGGAACAAATATATTTCTCTATAATAATTTAAATTATTTTCATCATTTTAAAACGCATGTTGAAACTTGGCTTCTTTCGTTGGAAATTACTAAAACGACGTGTAAATACCTTTTGTTCCTACTGGATAAAGTTTCGTGGAGAAAGTGAACGCCTGCTCGACTTCGAGAAACATTCTGTCGTTAATTTCGGTCATGTTCAATCTGGTTCTTTCGACCAGCGATTTTTCAAGGGCCTTCAGGAAAAAAGCCCATCTGGGCTTGAAATAGTCTGCGACTACCCCAGACCATTGCTTATTTGCATAGTCCCGGATCTCTCCGTTCGGTCCCCACAGAGTAATCTGGTTTCGCGCATTGTACTCGTAAGACTGCCTCTCCTTCTCATCGACAGCCATATCTTTCGCTTGAGCCAACCAGGTGCCTAGCAGAAAATTACTTCCTGATGCCAGGATAGCCTCGATATCATCGAAAAGATCCAACAGGGCGGCTGCATGCGACCTAGATCATGTTTCAACGGGAATGAGATTACTTTTTTTTCAAATACGGAAATCGTGAGAGTGATAATAAATTACTATATATCAATCACTTTGAGCTATATTTATAAACATTTACATGCTCTGTGATACTATGAGATATTGTTAAGGGACTTTTCACCATCGTAATTTTTTGAAATCATATTATACTTCATAATCAATAAAAACATGCATGATTAAAGTTGCAAAAATAGTATGTATGATATATATATATATAATCACAAAGATAAGATATATCAATATCTTATCATGATGCACGGAACTCACTGGAAACCTGTGATATTTTTTCGTTTATAACAATCTACTACATTCATATAGATATTGTCGGCCATCAGTTGGAGAGCTTGTCTTGTTATATCGACCACGTCGTGTCTGTAGAGAGTATTATTACCTCTACCGTATCTTGCTTTTAAAAACACATTCCACGTATGATAGAAATCTTCTCGATTGTACCAAACCTATGTTAAAAGCAAAATGTTCTATATTGGAGCATGTCATAATTATTATTTTTACTAAATTTATTTTTTATCGAGCTTGATTTCCTCTTTATAATCTGTTTCTCAACCAACTTACCTTGGATCTATAAATGGTATCTCGTAATTCGTATTTACTATTTACATAGCGATACCTTTTCAAAATTTATTATGTTTTTTTTATGCAAAAATGTCGATGCATTGACAGTTTTCGAAATATAAGTGGTCGAAAAAGCGACCACTAATAAAAGACTTTTCATGAACTAAGTTTAGGATAAACAAAATGAATGACAATTATGAATGACAATTATCTTCTTCAATCAATTTCAAGTTAACTTCACTTCAATGAAATTTTAACTTCAAATATGTGTTATGTTGAAGACAAAAAAGTCATTGTACATAGTGCTCAGAACATGGTACTAGAAGAGTTCGTGAAGGCGTAAAAAATTAAGGCGAATAAAAAGGTTTTGCGATATTCGTAATAATTATCGAATTATTAATTATAGAAATGTGCCGGTAACAGTTGCTGTTCAACTGAGCCGCATTATAACCCGAGTGGCTATAATACTTTTCAAATCATTCATTTCGACACGCGCTCATTCCTCAGATTTCTATAATTAATACCTCGATAATTATTGCGAATATCGCAAAACGACATGGAATTTTTTTGTTTGCCTTAATCCGTTGTCCATGAGCTTTAGTACCATTGTTCTTAGTAAGACACTATATAATGACATTCCCATACAGCACAACTATGTTGCAATATTGCTGCAACGTTGCTACAACATTACAAACATTGTTGCAACGTTTTTCAACTATGTGTGCTGCATGGGTTTCTTTGACATGTTTGCTAACAAAAAATTGTTAAATATCTTTATGAGGAATAGCGCTATGTAAATGATAAGCGAGAATTGTGACATACATACGAGTATGTTGCACTCGTAATTCGACTTATTTTCATTTTTTATTTAATTGCATATCTTGTTACTTAAAATTTCCAATATTCTTTATAATTGAAAATTCCTTTATATTTCTTATATTCCTTTATAACTGAGATATTCGAAGAAACGTAGCGACATTCTTTTGATTACATATCAATTATAATTATATTAAATGCGCATGCGCGTTATGTGCTTACCCATGGTGAAATATTTAAACTCGGTCGTCTAGTAATGACGTAATGGCCTCTGATTCTCTCAATACCGACGAAATTATAAATTGTTCGGCCGAGATGTTTCCAAGCAGCCACCGCGTATTCGTTCCAGGCGCCATATCTTCGAGTGGCGTAACTTTCAAACCTACGACCGACGATTTTTTCAGCAACGTTTAATTAGCAAATTAAATAAACTTTAATCGAGCAATTTTCTTTGTGCATCCGAATTTAAATCATAAATTGCACAGACTTATATAAATTTACAGATTGGTAGGAAATTAATCAGAAAGTGAATCATGTTAAAAATGATATATTTCCGTACGGAAAATTGTCGTTGTAGTGATTTCAAAATTAACTAAAAATAAGATGAAATATATAAATTTCTCTCAACATTTTGTATTGATTATAAATAAATCTAAATCTCAATAATGTCTATTATATGCGATATTAATGCAAACATTTCCGTTATAAAAATTAATATTTCAATATTTCAATATTTCATTTTAAGTTATCAACGGCTAAAGACATATTCGAATTGATCTTGCCTTATTTGGCCGGATCAGTGATCGGTCTTGCCTTAACTTTTAAGCCTTATAACTCGGAAAGTACCTATTTTACGCATTTGCATCCATATTGCACACAAAGTTAAAAAAATGTTACCGCAACGTTGCAATAATATTGCAATGTTGCAGTAACGTTGCAGCAATGATGCTGCAACTTCTGTGTTGTATGGACAGTAATATAGACTAAATTATCTATGCATATCATTTTTATAAATATATCTTTTTTATTTAATAAAGATGCACATGAAGGTAACATATATTTATATTATCTAGAAAACGATATGTTAGTGTTAACTAACTTTATGTGGATGATTACTTACATACTTTTATCTAAATGAGAGCACACGTTGCACATAAAACAAAGAAGAGAAACAGAAAAATATAATGAAGAAATATCGAATGATCTTTCATTCCATTTTGATTTCAAATGATCAAGTTTAATTAATATGGAGTATATTTTCCAAAAAAAGGAAAAGAAGAATTCTAACCTTAAACTTGTTACAACTCCTATATATATAGGGTGTTTCATTTTAAGTGATATGGTCGATTATCTCGCGAATTGAAGATTTTATTGAAAAATTTTTCGAACGAAAGTTACGTGGCTTGAAGGGAAACACATGATGGAAATATGGACTTGACCTTGAGTGACCTTGTCAAAATCAGGTCAAGGTCATTAATGTTTTTTTAAATAGAAACCTCTATTTTTATTACATATTCTTGTGGCTTATCTCGAAAGCTTTCTAAAACACTATAATAAAGTTACGTTTTATTAGGTACTTTCCGAGTTATAAGGCTTAAAAGTTAAGGCAAGACCGATCACTGATCCGGCCAAATAAGGCAAGATCAATTCGAATATGTCTTTAGCCGTTGATAACTTAAAATGAAACACCTTGTATATAATTATATTTTTATAGTTTTGTAGTTATATCTTACATATTTTTCTTGAGACATTGATTATTTTTATTAAATTCATGTCACTAATAAAAATGGACTTTATTTTTGCGGATTTCTGTTTTTCGGTGCATAGGGAATCGAAATACTTGGAATTAAAACAATAGTTTGTTATTTCTTCTCCTCTCTTATATTTTTTCCGTTCTGCTTTTTGTTTCTATGTTGGATGACACCCTCAAATGAAACGTTTCTCACCATGCATCAAGATCGACAGGCTCGTGACGGTATGCCATTTCGTTCATTAACTCATAAATTACGTAGTTCTGATTTATGCCCTCAGGTGTCAAACCGGTGCCCACCATCGTACTGCCATTCATGTGTCTACCCTCGAACGTGCGCTAAAAAAAAGAATAGACTTAAATGATTATCTTATAGATCTAATTTATCTTCCCGAGATATTTTTTTAAATTCTAAAAACTTTTTAGATGGATCATTGTCAAATTAACAAATGATGAGGGTCATAATCCTTCAGTTAAATATAGCTATATATTTGAAATTAGGATGGAACATGGAAAGGTGATTGATTATTTCTCTACTATATTTCTTTTTCTTTTGTTCCATTTTGCCGTTTTATAAGACGACATGCTAAGGGAGAAATGGATATGGAGAAATGCAGATTCACAATATACCTGATTAATGATTTGCGCGGATCCAAACATCCCTAAAGTGCCGCCAAAGTTGTGCAGCATACACCATATGAATGGCTGACCGTAATATGATTTCAATCGGCCGTATTGCGGAAATTGTTCCGATTGCAGATCCAGCACCAGCATTCGTCCCTATGATTGAATTTAGCATAGCAGCTTAAAGTTGAACGTGTGTTTTGTGATTATGATAAAGTAAGTACTTATGTAGATTTTTGCTATGAGAATAATAATACAGTTACTCTGGATAAATATCAATTTTTATTAATAACTTTTTTAACCTGACACTAATTTTAATTAATTACTCTTTATAATTACTCTTGTTCCAAGAAATTAATTTCAATTCATTTTTGTAAAAATCTTCTTCAATTTTTTTATTAATATATTGAGTTGCTATTTGTAGGTTTATAAAATCTATTTAATATTTTTTTTAACAACTTTTTTTTTATTTTAATAAAATCAATATAAATTAAATTAAGTTAAAATCCATTTTAAATAAAATTTCAATCTTTTTATGAATCTAATAACAATGAGAAATACAAAGCATCTCGCTGCAAAAATTACTCATTTATGCTGGCAGTCACTTATTTATTATCAGCTATATGTGCGGTGTGTGTGTGTATGTGTGAGTCTGAGGATTGATATTCTACACATATCAATATACAGGGTGGCCGACATAACTCTTGACAGCTGAATATTTCGGAAACTATTTATCAAATCAAAAAGTTGTTCATGAGAAAGTTTTATGTATTCAAGAGACCTTTCTAACTACATAAATATTAAGTTATTCCCTGTGCCCCTTAAAGGGTGGTACGGGGTAACTTCGCAATTTCAAACAGGACCCCCTATAAAATGTTAGATGATTGGATTCTACGGTAAAAAACAAGTAAATTTCGCCCAAAACATTTTTTTGTCAGATGTTTCTGTTAAAAGATATGACGGTGCAAAGTTTCGAAGCTACAGGAAACGTAAAAGCGTCGCGTATCCTTATCTTTTGTCGGTGATTCAAACGTAAACAAACATGCATACATTCATTGAAATCAATTTAACTATTCATGAAAATCTTGTCAGTTGTATGTTACTATTCAAAAAGTTAGCACCGTGAAAATCATAGCTTTCACTATGTTTGATACAGAAGTGAGTATGTTATTAGTATTAGGTGAATGCCAAAAGAATTATCGGCGTACAGCAGTAATGTTTGTTGAACGTTATGGGATTAAAAAATCGACTGATACCCGATGCTCTGACTGGTTCACGTTGACTAACATGAGGATTTAATGTAATTGCACCAAGAACATCAGCACTGTTTCTCTCATTAGTAATATTTTTACGTTTATTGTGTTGTACGCAATTTACCATGTTCACGAAGCTGCTTTTCTACATTAAAAAATGACGTGCGATTTTTTAATCCCATAACGTTTAAAAAACATTACTGCTGCACGCCGATAATTCTTTTGACATTCACCTAATACTAATACTAATAACATATTTACTTCTGTATCAAACATAGTAATACCTATGATTTTCACAGTGCTAACTTTTTGAATAGTAACATACAACTGACAAGATTTTTATGAATAGTTAAATTGACTTCAATGAATATATGAATGTTTGTTTACGTTTGAATCACCGACGAAAGACAAGGATACGCGACGCTTTTACATTTCCTGTAGCTTCGAAACTTACACCGTCATATCTTTTAACAGAAACATCTGACAAAAAATGTTTTGAACAAAATTTACTTGTTTTTTATCGTAGAATACAATCATCTAACATTTTATAGGGGGTTCCGTTTGAAATTGCGAAGTTACCCCCTACCACCCTTTAAGGAGGGCAGGGAGTAACTTACTATTTATGTAGTTAGAAAGACCCCTTGAATACATAAAACTTTCTTAAAAACAACTTTTTAATTTGACAAGTAGTTTCCGAAATATTCAGCTGTTAAAAATTATGTAGACCACCCTGTATAATATATTCCTTACCGTAGGTACTGAAGTCAGGAAGGATCTCACTCTAGGCTCCGTCCAAAATATAAAGTCGTGCACAAACAACCAACCCTGCATCAACCTCGTATAGTCAAGCACGAATTTTGCATAAGAAATATATATATTGTTAAATATACTTGATTAATGCACATATCCTAAATGTTCTCAAAGGAATGTTGATCATAATATAGAGATCGTTATATAAAAAAATATATTAGGTGTGTGAATTAATTCGATCCGTTTTTTCTTCCAAAAAAAAACTTTAGTATGAAAAAACATGAAAAAGTACATTAAGCAAAGTATTTGCCATCGCTTGCTATTATTTTTTCCCATTTGTCTGGCAGTTGTTGCATTCCCTAACGGAAAAACGACTCTTCCTTCGAAGCAATCGATTCATTGAGCCATTTCTCTATTTCTTCATAATTGTTGAAGTGCTGGCCCGAACGCCCGTGTGCCATCGATCTGAACAAGTGATAATCGGATGGAGCAATGTCTGATGAATACGACGGATGAGGTAAAACGTCCCAGCCAAGTGCTTCCAAAGTGGCCTTCACAATCTTTCCAACTATGGCCGAGCGTTATCGTGCTGAAAGATCACTTTGTCGTGTCTCTTTGCATATTTCGGCCGCTTATTTTTCAATGCGTTGTTTAAACGAATCAATTGTTGGTAAAGTTCAGCAGTGATGGTTTGGCACTGTTTTAATAGTTCATAATACACTACACTTTTCTGGTCCCACTATATACAGAGCATTACTTTCTTGCCGTGAATATTCCGCTTTGGTATCGATTGGATGGTTTTCCTGGGTCGCTAATAGATTTCCTTCGTTTGGGATTATCGAAATATGAGGGTCATCCCAGAAATACTTGACCTGATGTATAGATAGCGGTTGTTGTTTGAAAAGAATGACTATGGTAGAAAGTACCAATCTCATAAAGCTTAAGTTTGAAGTTTGACGACGCTACGTTGTTTAGTATTTGTTTGGTAGCCATCAATAGTGAATGCTCTCGGTGAATTTGTAAACATGGAAAAAATTGGTCATCGTTATGTGATACAATACTTTCATTTGAAAGGCCTCAGCCTAACCAATATCAAAGCGGAGTTAGATTCTACTCTGGGGAAGTCTGCTCCTTCGTTTACAACAGTAAAATATTGGGTGGCAGAGTTTAAACGAGACCGTACAAGCTGCCAAGACGAACATCGCAGTGGTCGACCAAATGAGGTGATCACGCCAGAAATGGTGAAGAAAATCCACAAAATGGTATTTGATGACCGTCGACTGAAAGTGCGCGAGTTAGCAGACATAGTAGGCATTTCAAAAAGTGCTGTACATTGCATATTGACTGAAAATTTGGACATGAGAAAGCTGTGCGCAATATAGGTGCTGCGATTGGAACAAAAATAGCGTCGTGAGAATGTTTCAATCGAGTGTTTAACGAAGTTTCGCAGCAATAAAGCCGAGTTTTTGCGTCGATTCATAACCATGGATGAAACATGGGTCCATCACTTCACATCTGAGACGAAGAAACAGTCAAAACAATGGACCAAGGTAGCTTGATGTCTATTTTGAGGAGCTCGACGATTCTCCCTATAAACAGAGTATCGAAGCTATTGAACATTGCTGGGAAAAGTATTGAGTTAATAGGAGACTATGTAGAGAAATAAAGATATTTTTTCTCAAATTTTTTGTGTTTTCTTTGTTAGGTCAAGTACTTCTAGGACTACCCTCGTATATCCACTTTTCGTCTCCAGTCATAATACGATGCAAAAAACCTTTTCTTTTTTGCCTGGCAAGCAAAATTTCAGACATGGCTTTTCGCCTCTCGATGTCTCTTTCTTTCAGTTCGTATGGCACCCATCTTCCTTCTTTGTAAATCTTTCCCATTGCTACCAAACGTACAGAAATTGTTGATCGATCAACATTCAACAATTGCGCGAGCTCATGTTGCGATTGATACAGATCTTTATCGATTAGCGTCTGCAATTCCTCGTCTTCGAATTTCTTCGGCTAACCTGGACGAGGTTTGTCATCGACACTGAAATCATCACTTTTGAAACGTCGAAACCATTCTCTGCATGATTTATCGGTGGGAGTACTTTCACCATAAACCTCTACGAGCATTCGATGAGCTTCAGCGGCTATTTTCTTCAAATGAAAACAGAAAATGAGAACTTCCCGGAAATGATGCTTTTTGGCTCGAATTTCGACATTTTCGAATCAGATAAACACGATGTTATTGTTACAAACCCAAACGTTTATCAACTGAATATTATTGTCAGATATCAAAACTAAAAAATAAAGCCTTTTGCAGACATTAGAGGTTAGAAAATTACATAGTACAACAATTGATCGCCAGATGGACCGAATTAATTCACACACCTAATATATCGTAATATATATCATAATATATGGAAGATTAAAAATATTTTTTGTTTGTTAATCTGTGATTCGCTCACCATATTGCTTGAGGGTCGACCGTACTCATCGCTTGGAAAACTGAACGGCCGACGTTGCTCAAATAGGCAAGTTCACTGTTACCGGGTTCATTCTCGTTAAAAGTGTCGCAATTGTAAATGTGATCAGTGCCGAATTCGTTGATGTACTGTAGCAATGAAATATTCATGCCAACGCCTAATTAGTTGCCTCCATTGGAAATACATTGACTCACCATTCTCAGGAACTTTTCTCCGATAGTCTGAAATAGCGGATCCGTCGGTTCTAACAGATAGGGGCTAAAAACGAGAGACTAAATTAAGGATTCAAGAATTTATTAATTCTGTTAAATATTACTTCGCTATATACTTTTCTCTACATATAAAAGAAATGTCTCATATCGGTTATATATTATTATACATCATATTTTCCTAATTAAGTTAATTTTATGTTATATTTGATAAAAATATCGTTTTATGAAGAGAACTACATTTAAAAAATCAAAGTCAAAAATCAAAAAATACTATCATAAGATATGAAGCGTTCCGATGCTCAATATCAGTTTTAAAAATCTGTAGTATACATAACATGAACTATATACTTTCAGTGCTGGTAGTGACTATCGGGACACAGTCGAAATAAGATGATATAAAATATTGCGTCATACCAACAATACTTGTCTTCAAATTTATTCCATGGCTCGATCTTCGTCATATTAGCATTCGGAAAAAGTCTGGCGAAAGCTCGTGGTACGTGACCAGCGAATGCTGGTAACACCGGAACGATCCCGAGATCCCTCATTCTCCGTAGGATACGATGCTGCAGACGTACGGTGCGTTCGTGCCAATTTATCGACAACGGCCCACCAAAGCCACGTATGTTACCCATTCTCGCCCTGAAGTGACCCAATAAATATATTCTATTATTTGCTCAAAAGAAAGAATTCGGTGATAAGTGATACCCGACCAAGGTAAAAAAGCAGGACCACCCAAGTGTTCGTCGATTTCTACTTGAGTAAAATTCAACTCAAGGAACAATCTCTGCCAAATTGCTTCTTGCGCGGTAAACGCAAGGGCCAAATTTATGCCGTTGAGAGCCATCCAATCGATGTTTTTTTCCCATTGCTGCCATTGCCACCAGGCTGAACTATAGCCTACGGTACATACGTTCTGATAGTACCTGAATCTGAGGAGAAGTCACGAAAGAGTTATGTGTGTACGTCTTTTCCCCGCTATGGACACATACACATATGAGAGTCAACTTGTAATTTCGAATCATAATTTATAATTATATTTACTTCTATTTTATATATATATATATATATATATATGAAATATAGAATGTATAAAAAGTACGGTGCAATATCTCGAAAACCAGGCATTTTATAAAAAAAAATGTTTCAGACAAAAGTTGTATGGTTCTAAAGGGGACATAAAACAATTATATCATTTTGTTTACAGATGGCGCCACTTTCGAGATATTCACTGATCATTACCTTTTTAAATGAAAATTTACCTCAATAAAAATGAACCTCAATTTTTTATTATACCATCTTTTTCTGTCAAAAAGTTGACTTTTTTACTCTATTTGGTCTCAAAAATATATTGTTACAATAGTGCTCTAACTTTTGTTAATTTATCGACTTTTGGAAATTTTAAAATCATCAAATTAGACAAGATATGAATTTTTTTCACTTTCGCCTGTAGAAATGCGTCATCACCTGTCGTTAGATGTGATCTTGATTCGAACTTCTGGCAATATGTTGGGCAAAGAAATTTGCGTACCGTCCCACGACACATGAACGTTGCAATAATTCTTTAAATAATAATTCAGCCCCCAAGTAATCGCTACCCCAGAGGTGCCGCGAATTTCGATGTTGCCTAGAGGATTTTTCGTTACCTATAAAAAAAAGTTCAAGAATTCTGAAGGAGTTAAAAAGCAACAGTAGATACCAAATATCAGATTATTTCTTTGAGAATATATTGTTTTCGAGAGTAGATACTGTACCTTGAAAGTATCTTTACCGGCAGGCCCTAAATCGTTATCCACAGCCACAACAAAGAGTTCAGCAGTTTTATTGCCCAGCAGTCTCCTCACAACATCTTTCGCCGCTTCTGTCTGGACTTCCGGCGAGATGTGCGCTTTTATATGACCTAGAGTGCTCTGAAACGCTAATTGCATATTCATTTATTGTAAGATTTTCAGAGTTCCTACAGAAAGATTAAACGCACAATTAACTAGCAATAAAAATGTTAAATGCATGCGATATCATGCATACTTTTTAGTCCCTAATATTGTTTCATAGTAAATCTAATTTTAAATTTATTATACAGTACGTCTTGTAAATCACGTTCATTATTTACACAGCGCTATTTCTCATGAAAATTATTAACAATTTTTCTTTAGTGAAAATATCGTGAATAATTATAATGTAGTGGAAGATTATTATTTATGATAATATTTTAACTTTTAATATAATATCTATAAAACCAAGTTTTAGATTAAAATTTTGTTGAAGTAGGGTTCATCAGAAATTAATAAAAAAGAAAAAAATAATTTTGTTATTAGCCCCGTTTTTTATCATTTTAGAAATTATCCACGGCTCAATATTTTTTCTGTGAAAAAATGACAAATTTTCATAAACAAATATAGCTATATAAATAATATATATTCATTATTATATGTTAACAAAATTTCGTAGATTTTACTCACTGTCCTGCTTGCGATATTGAGTGGATGGCAAGACAAGTAGTTCAAAGATTATGATGGATAATAACAACCGTAATGTTGCAACATCCATCGCGATCAACCTCAGCGCGGCCACTGACGCGCGTAAAAGCTGGGAGGCGAAAAGAGCGATCGTTTGTCGTACTTTAGTATCCCTACTCTTACTTTGTACTTTTTATCACTAACCCAGCCGTCAATTGCTGACGACGATGCAATTACATGCGTAACATTGGATGGCTCCACTGATAAACGCGTTTGCTTTCATCATTGAAAAAGTAACATTAAAGATCATTGGCTTTATGATTTTAGATTTAAATAATAGATTTAGCGTAATAAAGAATGTTGCTTTATAATAATCTCCTATCGGCAAATGAATCAGTAAAATTACGAGTAATCATGTTTGAGATACTGCATATTTTTCAAAGTTTCCGTTAAGTTATATTGGATTATTCTCAATAAGTTCGTAGATTTTGGCAGACTCCAAAGCCGATACTATTACAGTTGAATTAACTTTACATAATAATGTATTGATCGTTTTCTCGATGATATATCATCGACGAAGATAAAACAAAATAAAGTTATATCTGACTTTAGGTCTATCGGTTCAGAGTTCTTTTCACAAAAAATCTCCACAAACTTATCGACCAACTTATTTCAAGGATACTAAGGGATTTAAATTTTGTGAATATAATTTTTCGGGATTTGATATTAAATACCATATAGTGCACCATATGTGAAACTAGATATTATAGTGTCTATTTTAATGAATTTCTTTTCTTCTTTTATCATGTGTCTTCTTTTATAATGTATAGAAATATTATAGTATAATCGGTAACGAGAAACGAAATCCACAACCATATGTTTTCATTGAATACTAATCACAAAAATGGCATAATCGAACCAGAAACTAAATTAATAAATGAATAATAATCATATGGTAATCCTATTAATCATAAATCAGTATAATTTTATAGTGTTGATAAATTGGTCAGGAAGTATCTCATATAAACCTTATGTAGAAGTAGTTTCGATTAAGAGTCTATAGGAGCCGTAAGCAAATTCTGAGTTGACTTTGAAGAGTTCGACTAACGACGACAACATGCTATCGCTTTGTGTTGCTACATACATATGGCGCACACCAATATCACTCGCACGTACATAAAAGCAAAAAGGTTAGGTCAGTTGGTTAAATAAACGATTGATCGCCGTCCTTGTCTTTCTTTAGAATCTAATGTGATCTTATCGCTACGTACAATCTACCTCTCACCTCGTCCTGCTTCCGTAATATTTTGTAGCTCATAACTGAATAAGAAAATTGATATATTCTTTATAGTGCTATTAAAATTTATAATATTTCTTTTCTCCTTGTTCTCACTAAGCCTCAACTATAAATCTATTTCTCCCCAATTTTTGAAAATTTACACTAATCTAGTGGTAAACAATAGATTAAATGTTTTCAAGATTCTTGAGGAAATAAAAGTGTAACAAAATCTGTATAAGTGCTCAACTCTAAATATTACAATATTTGTTGCACATATGAATATCTATGTCTGATGGGCTTAATATCATGTTGTTCTCGCTTTGGAAAAATATATATCAATATTTTAGATAAACTTCTGGAAAATACCAATACTTAATTGCCATAAAGTTAATGTCGATAGTGCTTCAATTATATCGTATACCGTAATTAATATTGGGGACTTGAATAAGTTCACGCTGTTTTTTCGTGAAAATGAATGCTTTATTTAAAAAAAAATTAGTAAAGAACATGTCATTGAAAGTATTGTCCATCGCTAGCCACTACCTTCTCCCATCTTTCTGGCAGCATACGAATACCATGTCGAAAGAACGACTCATTTTTTGAGGTTATCCATGAATCGACCCATTCTTTGGCATCTTCATAAGAATGGAAGTGCTGCTCAGCCAGGCCATGAGTCATCGATCGGAACAAGTGCTAATCGGAAGGAGCAATGTCCGGTGAATACGGCGGGTGGGGTAGGACTTCCCATTTGAGCGTATCCAAGTAGGTTTTGACCGGTTTTGCAACATGTGGCCGAGTATTATCATGCTGCAAAGTTATAATATCTCTCCTCGTATTACGGCCGTTTTTCTTTCAATACCCGGCTCAAACGCATCAATTGTAGTCGATAGCGATCTCCCATGATGGTTTCGTTGGGTTTGAGTAGCTCATAATATATTACACCCAGCTGATCCCACCAAATACAAAACATGAGCTTGGAACCATGGATATTCGGCTTTGCCGTCGATGTTCATGCATGGCTGAGCTTATCCCACGATTTTCTACGTTTCGGGTTATCGTAGTGTATCTACTTTTCATCGCCAGTCACGATACGATGCAAGAAACCTTTCCTTTCCTGCCGTTGGAGCAGCTGTTCACACGTGAAAAAACGCCGTTCGACGTCTCTCGGCTTCAATTCGTACGGCACCCAATTTCCTTGCTTTTGAATCATTCCTAATGCTTTTAAATGTTTGGCAACTGTTGTGTGATCAACTCCTAATGATTCTGCAAGTTCATTTTGCGTCTAACATAGGTCTTCATCGAGTAATGCTTCCAATTCTTCGTCTTCAAACTTTTTCGGTGCGCCAGAGTGTTCTTTATCTTCAACATCAAAATCATTATTTTTAAAGCGTTAAAACCGATCTCTGCATGTTGTTTCCGACAGAGCATGGTCGCCGTAAGTCTCCACAAGAATTCTATGTGCTTCAGCTGCAGATTTTTTATGAAATAAGTAATACGGTAAAATTTTCTGCAAATATTCTTTTTTTGGGACGAAATTCGACATGTTTAACGCTATGAAAGAATATGTTGTTTACGCTTTGGCGGAATAACATATACTGTCACTTCGAGCCTAATGGTGGAGCTTCACGATGAAGTTGGCTGTAGTATTGCCCGATGCAAAAAGGCTAAGATAATACCATCTGTCGGGAAACAGAGAAAACTTATTCAAGTCCCCAATAGTTTTCTAAATTAAGGATGACTTTCACCGACTCCAATTAATCTAACCGACAGTTAAAAGTAACAGGATGTCAATTTAAATTTTATTGGATATGAATACTTCATGCTTAACCTCAATTTTCTGATTATAGTTTGTGTCGCCTGTTTCATATTAAAGGCTCGAGGTCATTATAATGAAGAAAAAGAAGAAGAAATTTACACATTATGGTAAATGATAAAGGCTTATATTTTCAGCCCTCTTTTATCGATGTGCCTAGACATGACCTATAAAGGCACATTTATATATTAAGTACATATAATAGTAGTAGTTCTTATATTAATAAGAAAAGCATTTTTCTTTTAAATGTAGTTACGAGATGTACACGTTAGTGACTTCATGATTATGTTTGTAACGCTACCATTTAGGTTCATGCGAACAGTATTTAGAGTTAATTAACATTAATAGAGTTTCTCCAAACGAACTTTGCATGACAACAAATGAATATTTGTTTTAATCTAACTTAATTTAACCTGCTCTACAATACAGAGAGAATTGCTCTATCTTTTAATTTAAATTTAGTAACTTAGTTTAATTTTAACTCAGTAATAATTCAGCGATATTTGTGATATATTTTAATATTGACAAATCGATCGTAAATGTAATTAAATTTATCTCAAAATTTGATGTAATATTATCAAAGATATTTAACATTAATTAAACTTTTTGACATTAAACTGCTTTGTCAATGAAAATTCATTTCAGGATATTTATTTGTAATTATATGGAGTACTCTCGTCAAAATTTCTGTTAATAGAACGTATGTGGTTTATACATATTTACCCTACACATTTTAATAAAAAAGAATCTAATAATAACATACCGATAAATATCTGATAATAACGTATCAATAAATAAATATCAATAAATATCAACAAAAAAGAATCAATATATGACAAACGTTCATTATTTAAGAATAATAAGTACTGCATAAATATATGTAGGTTGCATTCCGATATACACTACAAGGACGGAAAATTTATAATATAGAAAAAATTAACTTTTTTTCTATAGATTTTTAATACTGGTAATAAATATAATAAAGACAACCATAATTGTTCTTACATGCAAACTGTATTAGGTGCAAATTATCAATTTTTTTGCATTTTCATAGGAATCTTGGGAATTGATAAATATTTAATTTGTAACGGAGTTACTGCATTCAAATCGATTTGCTGGTGTTCAAATTCGATGATAGGAAGAATAGAATCAGGATAGAGAGAGAAATAAAGAGAGGAAGAAAGAGATCACATTTTTGTGAATAAATTGTACTATATATTTTAATTCAAATACATTATATATTTACAATGATTACAGTTATTTTTGAACTTATTGTGACGGACGCTCGGTCGGTAGTGTCATGAGACGCGATGGAAGCAGAGAACTGTCGATATTCTATCTCATCCATAGTTAATGATAATTTATAATATAACCATTGATAATTATTAAGTTATAGTATAATATATAAGTTATAATATATAAGTTGATAATTATTAATTCGATAGTTCTGTTCGGAAGTTCGATAGCTTTTAAAAATATTAATGAAAAGAAGACTTTAATTATTTATTTAGTCCTTTTTTATTTTTTTATTAATTTGTTATAACTCAGTAGATTTCAGTTAATAATAACAAAATATAAGGAGATGAAACTCAATACTCCAAAAATATTTAAATTAAGAAATTTATTCTCTACTCAACTATTTATTCTCATTTAAAAATATCAGCGTATCAACATTTTTTGGTTTTAGATTATACAGTGCTCTGAAATTATTTGGTTACCTTTAATAAAAATGCATTTTATTGATACATAAATAGCAAACAATTGAGAAGTTTCTATGCGAACTATCAGTTCAGTTATGTGGCTACCCATATTCACCTATTTCAGACACTTGCAAATATATTTTTTATAAATTATTTATTTATTTATTTATTTGTTAACTAAAGCAAACGAAATAAATTTATTAATTGTTAATGAAATGATTAAAATATTTTGTATTACAATTATTTTAAAAATAAAAATGAAAATTATTAATAATTTAAAATAAATCTCAATTATTACCAATGGAAAACTATATCGATAGGAAACTATTGATAATTAT